TGTATTAATATACGGGGTGTTCCATTTAAAAAAATAAAGTTGCTAGGACTTTTTGATGGAAGTGGCAGCGCCGCAATGCTGAAAATATTTTAGATCGATAGAACAGGTAAGAAAATGTGAGAGGTGAAATTTTCGGAAAAATCATGCTTTGCGTTTTCCAGAAACGTCTAACCTACCATCGACCGTGAGTCACGCTGTTTAAAATTATAAAATAACATTTTCAGATTATCCGAAACAGAAAACTTGCCAATATTTGTACATGTTCTGTCGTAAGGATTTCATGGTGAAATATAAAATAAGGAGAGCTGTCGAAGAAGATAACGATGATCTTGTACCACTGATACATACTCATTCGAAAAAATTAAAAGACTGCTATGGTAGTTACTACATTGCCGAAATTCTTACCAGACACAAAGATATGGGCAGACAAATCATAGTAGCAGAATATCAAGGAACTGCCGTTTCAGTCCTGTGTTTGAATTCATCAGTGAATTATAAGGTAATAATGAATGAAAATGGAAATTGATTATCCGTTCAATTAAAAAATCACCATTCCATTATTAACAGATATTTCTTTCATACAGGTTCTCAATGATGAATTTGAATTGTCACCATATAATGGTTTCAAAAAACCTCACCCAGATGACTTTATAGATTTATCCTTGGAAGATATACGACAGAGTCTGGAAAAACTCCATTCCAAAGTGGAAGACGAGTACGTATATAATAAAATAGTAATAGTGTTATGGAATTGATAGATATCATTCGAACAATTCGTTTTACGAATTGTTTGAATGAAATCTATTGCAGCCTTTGCAATTCCATCGACATGATTGTGCCAAGACATATTGGTTTCCATTTTAATCCCCAACAAATTCATCGAAGCAGAAAGCGGAATTATCAGTACAGGATCACGCGGCAAAATCACTACGTTTATAGCGTAGTTAATCAAACTAAATTTTTTACATACATTCATGAGTAGGGGAATACATTCATGACAGGTTTCCAGTCAAAAAGTGGCAGCCAATATTTTTATTTAAAAAAGTCAAGCTGCTAAAATACTTCATGGAGCAAGAGCTGAATCGATCCCTCTACGAAACCTATCATCATTTTCCAACTAGCAATTTCGTATTTTATAATAGTTTCTCCCAGAAATGTTTTCAATGTGTTTATAAAACTGCTATGAATAGGAAATTGGAACCGTTTTATAAAATATTATAGTTATTATCAATATTTCGTAAGGCCTTTTACAAGCCCTACAAAACAGTTTTATAAACATTTTGGTAGTTACTATAAAATTTGTCTAACACTCTTAAAGAATAGTTTTGTGAACACTTCCCTAAAACTAAACTACTAAAAAACTCTTATAAAACTGTCTTCTGATTATTTTATAGGTATCGCTTAAATATGTTTCAAAAGTACAGTAAGCTTACTGTACTTACTGTAATCAGAAGACAGTTTTATAAGAGTTTTTTAGTAGTTCCAAGTAGGCGTTATAAAATGTAATACAGCCGAAAACGATAACATTAAAGTAAAAAAGTGTTCAACATGTTTTCTCGAAGACGCAAGACGTAATTTTGTATTGGACACTGGGAAAATATAATTGATATTGATATGTCACCAACTGAAAACTAAGAAATAGAGAGTTTGAAGCCATTTTAAAATTTCACTTTTGCACTCATAAAACTGTTAAAGACATTGTTTGTGTTTCGAAGATTGATATTTTTACTGCAAATGAAATTTCATTGACAAATATATACAATGCCCA